CTTGTAAAGCACATATTGTGAATTAGTTAGCTGCTCCTCAATAATCTGCACATCTGCAGTTGCCTTCTGCTTAATCATGCTGTTTTCTAATAGGGTTTCTAATAGAAATTTGCAGAGAATGATCACTAGAGCTGGCCAATATATCATCCAATACCGGTTTGAAGTCCATGTCATGATATCAGTTTCATAATTTTTGACCTGGCAATATATCGCAAATCATGGTGTGTGTGTGTGATGCAAAAATCACAATGTAGGAGAAACCGTGAAGCTGGTGGATGCTTCTCTTGAGTTCTGTATCCCCTGTTAAGTCTGCTGGCTCATCTCTCATCTCGCCCCTGCCATCTGCAGTGGGCAGCAATTTACAAGAGCAGGCGCTGGCAAAAATCATGATGCGGGAAAAACCATGAAGCCAACCAATGCCTCTGTATAGCTCCATCTTTATTTCAGACATCATGATATATTGCAATGTTTAGCTGGTGATATATTGCGATGTTGAAAACCAGATATTGCCCAGCCCCACTGTTTGCCTCTACATAGCTCCATCCTTATTTCAGACATCGTGATATATCGCAATGTTTAGTTGTTGCTATATTGCGATGTTGAAAACCAGATATCAACCAGCCCTAATGCTCACAGGCTCCTTATTGGTACATCTTGTCAAGGACACTGCAGCTGTTTATACATTTGCGTACCCTTCACATATAATGGGTTGTATCCAGTGCAAGTAGACTTATTGAAAAGTATCAACATGACAAAGGTAGAATCATTTATTTTAATGGTTCTACTCTGAGTAGCATTTAGTTGGATACAACCCAATATTCTCCTTGTATTACTATGTATATTTGAATGCAAAGTCGCATGGTGACGAAACGAGGAAGTCATCATGATGTTCTGTAGGGTTCAAGTCATTTAGGGCTCTGCTTGTTAAGACCAGAACTTCAATGGGAAAATGTAACTATGGGCAAACAATGGACACGGTAGAACATATTGGGGCCATTTGCTCCAGGGGACACAAAACTGCCAGCAGATGCACCTCTACATGTTCTGGAAAACTTCCGAACACTTTTCAAGGACATTCATTCCTATACAAAAGCCATTACAGCCGTCAAGCTCTAAGGTTATGAGACACGGCAGTGTCCTTGTAAAGAAGGAGGCAATATCAGGTGAAACTTTAAGGAGGTATTGGGAGATAGTTCTTAGAATATTAGAACTGTAGAGTTAAAAAGGTCCAGTGATTCCATTATGGCACCCCTGAAAATAACCTACCTCCTCAGCTACTTCTATCCAGATGCTAACTCTTCTGACAGGGTCTTACCTGCCCTGCTTTCATCAATGATCAGTTTTTAAAAATAAAATTACCTAAATATACATAAGTTTGCAGAACTGAGTATGTTAGGAATCACATGCCTCACTTCATTTTCATCATGAGATTCTCCTTCGTATTCACATGAGGTCTCAGTACGATAATGCAGCACTTGGGGAGGAAGATGCAGCCCAGAAGCCCAGCACTGGAGGCCAATATAGAGAAGACCTGCACAGCTACCATGTACTTCCCCTTGGTGCTCAGGTAGGTGGGCACAAAGGACACCCAAACACTGCAGAAGACCAGCATGCTGAAGGTGATCAGCTTGGCTTCATTGAAGGATCCTGGAAGCTTCCTGGCTAGGAAAGCCACTGTGAAACAGATGGCAGCCAGGAATCCCGTGTAGCCAAGGGAACCATAAAACATGGCAGCAGACCCTTCATTACATTTCAGGATTAAATGGAGTTGGCCAGACTCTTCCCCAGCCATCTCCTAGTGTCTCTGTGTGCTTTGGCTTCTGTCACAGTGTTCCGTGCGCTGGAAGCAGTTTAGGCATGCTGACCACATGACCTGGAAAGTGGTCTGCAGACAAACGTCCAGGGGTCCTTTACCTACCAGACCACCATAATAATAATTCTGGTGTCAATCACACACCTGTTATTAGGCTGCCATCCTTCAGACCTCTCATGGAGGAGACACACAAAGAAGGGCCTGCTGATACAAAATGTATCTCGTGAAGAAGTATTATTACGTGTTAAGGAGGAGGGCATGCTCAGTATGACTATGAAAATGGGATGCAATTTATTTTTATTTTTATTTTTATTTTTAGTAGTATAACGTACTTCATCTGTAGATCTCGGGACAGTTCACAACATAAAATTACAATACAAAAAACACGAAATACATAATATCAATAAGAACAAAAACCAATAATCCCCCCTCCCACAACACATTTAAAAGGGCATGGGACATCAATCAGCCCTAGGCCTGGTTGAAGAGGAAAGTTTTTGCCTAGCACCTAAATTATAAATAATGAAGGCGCCAGGTGAACCTCCCTGGGGAGGGTATTCCACAAATGAGGAGCCATCGCAGAAAAGGCCCGTTCTCTTGTTGCCACCCTCTGGACCTCTCCTGGAGGAGCCACATGAAGAAGGGCTTCAGATGATGATCTCTGGGTCCAGATAGGTTCATAGGAGAGAGTGGTCCATGAAGTATTGTGATTCTGAGCCGTTTAATGCTCAGTATCATCACTTAATGCTGTAAGTCCTCATCTTTCCTCTCCTCCTCTGATTAAGGGATTCCTTTTCAAATCCCCTGCCGAGCTACTTCTGCCCAGTTTCTCCCTCCTCTGCCAGGGAAAAAGGAGCATCTATCATCATCATCAAACCTTTTATTGGCATCACATACAAACAAGAGCATCTATCTTCTGACATGCTTGCAGCGAGTAAATTGGACAGTGGCCTGACCCCACACATTTCATCAACAGCCCATCAGTAGAATAGGGTTTAAGAAAGAAATATTTTAAAGTCAAATTGATCTGCAGAACTGGAAGTTTTGAGAATTAGAGGCTTCAATTAGTTAACATCGTAATTTAATGGTGAATAAAGGCCTTGGGTCCAGTTTGTGGCATCTCACTTAACAAAACTGCTTGCAAAAAAGGGTAGCTAACATGAACATCAAAGAATAAGATGTCTCACTTCGATTTCATTGTGAGATGCTCCTTTGTATTCAGATCAGGTCTCAGCACAATGATGTAGCACTTGGGAAGGAAGATGCAGCCCAGAAGCCCAGCACTGGAGGCCAAAATGGAGAAGACCTGCACGGCTACCATGTATTTCCCCTTGGTGCTCAGGTAGGTGGGCACAAAGGACACCCAAACACTGCAGAACACCAGCATGCTGAAGGTGATCAGCTTGGCTTCATTGAAGGATCCTGGAAGCTTCCTGGCTAGGAAAGCCACTGTGAAGCAGATGGCAGCCAGGAAGCCCATGTAGCTGAGGGAACCATAAAACATTTCAACAGACCCTTCATTGCACTGCAGGATGATCTCTTTAGGCTGGGAGTGCATGTCAGAGTCTGGGAATGGGGGAGAGATGCCCAGCCAGATGGTGCAGAGGAGAACTTGGACACCGGAACAGGAAAGGACAATGGAGTTGGCCAGACTCTTCCCCAGCCATCTCCTCGCTCTGTTCCCTGGCTTTGTGGCCAGGAAGGCCAGCACCACAGTGATTGTTTTGGCCAACACAGAAGAGACGGCAGCTGAGAAGATGACGCTGAAGGCTGTTTGTCGGAGAAGGCAGGTCACTTTCCTTGGACGGCCGATGAAAAGGAAGGAGGACAAAAAGGAAAGCAAGAGAGATACAAGAAGTATGTAGGAGAGGTCTCGGTTATTGGCTTTGACTATGGGAGTTTCCATGTATTTAATAAAGATGGCAAAAACAAAACCCGTGGTTAAGGAGAGGAATAGGGCAAAAGATGCCAATGTGATCCCCAAAGAGTCTTCGTAGGCAAGAAAGGTGATAACCTTGGGGACACATTGATTTTTGTGCTTGTTTGGGTGCTGATCTTCTGCACATGTGGTGCAATAGTCTGCATCTGAAAGGAAGATAAGAGAATTCAGTGGTCCTAATGTGTTCTGCCATTCTATCCATTCTTAAGGAAATCAGCCCTGAGTGCTCACTGGAAGGACAGATCGTGAAGCTGAGGCTCCAATACTTTGGCTACCTCATGAGAAGAGAAGACTCCCTGGAAAAGACCCTGATATTGGGAAAGATGGAGGGCACAAGGAGAAGGGGACGACAGAGAACAAGATGGTTGGACAGTGTTCTCGAAGCTACAAACATGAGTCTGGCCAAACTGCGGGAGGCAGTGGAAGACAGGAGTGCCTGGCGTGCTCTGGTCCATGGGGTCACGAAGAGTCAGACACGACCAAACGACTAAACAACAACAACAATGTGTTCTGCTACATTCCAAAACATCTACGCTTGAAGGTGCAGTTCAACTGTGGAACGAACTCCCCCTTTTTGGAGGTTTTCAAGCAGAGGTTGGATGGCCATCTGTCATGGATGCTTTAGTTGAGATTCCTTTGTTTGCAGGTGGTTGGACTTGGAGTCCCTTCTAACCCTGATTCTATGATTCCCCTTGTGCCTTTTTACATTTACATTTTGTTTATATAGTGGTACCTCGGGTTACAGACGCTTCAGATTACAGACTCCGCTAACCCAGAAATAGTACCTCGGGTTAAGAACTTTACTTCAGGATGAGAACAGAAATCGTGTGGTGGCGGCGGGAGGCCCCATTAGCTAAAGGGGTTCCTCAGGTTAAGAACGGTTTCAGGTTAAGAACGGACCTCCAGAACGAATTAAGTTCTTAGCCCGAGGTACCACCGTATAACACATTCCCTCTCTAACCACTCTTCTCTTTATTCCCTGTATTTTCTGATGGTTTTAGCCTGCTGGCCTCTTATATTTCTGAGTAAATCTCTATTCAAATTCTTCCAAGAAATGCCTCTACATCACCCACTGGTGCCACCTCCAGGCATGCAGTTTGAGAAATCCTGCTTTTTGGAACTTAACATCACAGTAGCCAAGAATGGTTTCACATTCCAAAGACGTATTTAGGATCTTCACAGATAATCTCTGCTGAGTGAATCTTCGGCCTATCTTTGTTTCCCCAAGGAATGCCTCCTCCCCTTGAGTCACGCACCTTCCTGAGTGGATATGGTCCCTTCAGCACACAGTGCACAAGCATAGCAGCAAACCGCTTGTCCTTCTTGAACTACCTTGGAATATCCAGGGCGACAGCTTTCAGTACACCTGGCGCAAGGCACAATCTGACAATAGAGTGAAGGAGCATCAAGGGGAAATGGTTAGAGATGTGGAATTGAGTCATGAGGTGTGGAAGGACCTTAACCCCGCCCCCTTTATAGGTAAATACTGCTGATGCATAAGTATCTAGTTTAGAAACAACTTTTGCTGCCCTAGCAATGGCAGACAGAGGAAATATCACAGGCCTGATGATAAACCAGGACAGGAAACAGGTGTTAAGAAAAGGGATTATGTGCAGTTTTTATTGGCACTGGGTCTAGGGCACAGAGCCAGAGGGTGACTGATGACTTTATGCAGACAAATGTCTGGATGTCGGAGCATGGAAACTTTTCATTAAAAAAGTTAAACAAGGCTGGTCAGGGATGCACGTTAGTAGTTATTGTTGCAGCATTTTTCATCACCAATCAAATCAGGATGCCACTGGGATTTTGCAGATTTATATCATATAGAATTATACTGCTCGCTCACACACAAAAACATTATTTGCCCTAGTTTATTTTCATGTATTTATAAAGCTTTTGGGGAGAGTGTATGGGACCCAACCCCACTCCAGCATGCAGTTTGAGCTCCAGCTTGGTGGGAAATTACTAAATTTTCCAATTCAAATCAATTTCCCCAACAGTGTTTATGGTGCGAATTTGGGTGCAGCAGGTGAGGCCTAGATTATAGTCTGCATATGAATTAAATAAAATAATTTCCAGTATCATATAGATAAACCCTGTAAATAATTTGGGTTTAATAAATCTCAGCGGGAAAGAAGCACATAAAAAATTCATTTACCTCTTTAAACTGCAAGGGCCACACGATTGCTTCTGGGTTAATGGTGAGCTTTAAATGTGAGGCTGCCTGTCTCTCTACACTCCCAACTTTCACTCTGCCACGAGACTTGTTGGGAAACATCACCCAGTTCACAATATCATAGTCAGCTGCCAAGTCTCTATTCTCATCCGAATACAATCCGCCCCTGGAGGTGTTAAACAACTGGACGTTTCTTAAGAAAGGGTGGAGCTGGACTGACAGGAGAAAAACAGAATTGAGAAAACATGGAAATCTATTGATCTCTTTTCACTTTTCACTCTAGTCTCCTCCAAAGTAGCGCTAGTGCACTTCTGGACTCATGAGAATAATGTTGTTGGCTTTTCACAGTCACAGCTGAGTTCCATTCATATATATATCTTGTTGATTTTCATGATCTGATATGTTGTAATATGATAAAAATGCAAAATCCAATTTTATATATATAAAATTATATATATAAAATCCAATTATATATATATAATTGGATTTTGCATTTTTATCATATTACAACATATCAGATCATGAAAATCAACAAGATATATTCCCCCCCCCCCCAAAAAAAAACCCAGAAGAGGAAGTTGAGGGAAGTCAGAGGGGGAGGGGGGAAATTGGGGGGAAAGCTGAGTTGCATTCTTGATTTATCACTAGAGAATGGTGACTGAACCATGGAATGTCTTCTGATGCCACCAAAGCAAGCCAAATAGCATTGGAGAATCACACGTTAGATATGCCTTGGAAATGCTGGCACGGGTGAGGCAGTTGGATTGGATTCTGGGTGCAGGACAAGGATCCAAGGGGGCGGGGAGGAATACCTGCCATGGCTGCAGTCGTTCAAGTCTCAACCTGTCCCCTCTACCCATCATCAGCATCTGTTTGGATCTGGATGAATAGGCAGAATTTAAGGCAAGTGCCACAGCTTGGACACTGCTGTACGTAATGTAGCTGTCTTGAGACAGGGACCTTTCAACCTCCTCTTGGGGAAGAATCTCCAGTTTCTCTTTCTCTGTGCATCTTATCCAACCTTTCATGGGCAATACAGCCTCCGAACATAAACAATGAAATGATTCATCCCAAAATCGTAGTGTTGTGCCCGACCGTGGCTTATAGTATTCATATTTTGTCCATTTTCTGGTCTTCATTATGAAAGACAAAGAACCATGGATATACACGAAGGTATTAATACCATAAGATAAGTTTATGTTGATGTCCTGAAAAGCTGTTGTGATCCAGACTTTCCCCAAATTTGTACCCTTTCAAGTATCCTTTGTACCATGATGATTGGGTCAAATCGATTGGAAGCATCCCCATAGTAGACAGAGACATTGACTTTTCTCCACATAACAGGTGGCTTCCTCAGTATTGAAATCTGGTACAGAGTCCTTTGTTGTATTTTTTCTGAGAAGGCAACACAGATTCCACTGCTGATCATCATAGGTGTTAAGGAACTTAAGAACCTTTCTCCACTGTCATTGTCTGGAGCAAAGAGGCCGATCCATGTCCATCCGAAATGCAGGAGCAACTTGACAATCCCCCGGTACTGAATTTCTTCTTTGGGAACCATTTGGTAGGCAAAAGGGAACTGAGTTTTATCAGTAAGAGCAAAACCATAACTGAGCTAGCAAGGAAAGGAAGAATATCAGATATATGTTAATAACAAGCAAAAAAGGGACTGACTAGACAAGGAGGAGGCTATCAATGATTACTAGCCGCAAGGACCATGTTCTTCCTCCACTGTTGAAGGCACCATGGTCTTGAAAGCCAGTTGTTGGGAATCAAAAGTTGTAAGAGTGGCTTTTCATTCAGACCGCACTTGCAGACTTCCCAGAAGTGGTTTCTGTTCGGCTGAAAATGGGATGCTAGACTAGACTGACTTATAGGCTGAACCAGCTTCAGGGTGTTTCTCATGTTCTTAGGACACCTCAGGCTATTATAAATAATTTTAAGAGAATCCTTCAAAAAAACGGAGAGTGCTAGAGTGGAAGGGGAGCTCAGAGGTCCCTCTAATGCAGGAAATCCACCACTGTAGCTTCCCTGACTGGTGACTATCCCAGTCCCTACCTGTGGGATTTTGAAGATGCCCGACATGCAAGAAACATGGGTAGAAATGTCCGATCCAGCCCCTTCAATAACAGCCAAGAGGTTCTTGCGTCTTCCACAGTTGTAGTTTGGAATATTCATTCCCCCACCAGAATGCCCGTCCAGCATTGCATTCGAAACCACTCTGCCATCGAAATAGGTTTCAAAGAGGTTGTAGCCCAAAGTGGTGTTGGGTAAAAGTGAAGGATCCAGATTAAACTCCTGAACAGCAAGCAAGAAAGACAGGATGTGCCAGTACTTCTGTTCTGAGATACTGCAAAACATTAAATACAGCAGTTGTGACAGGCTGCCGTTCTCCAGTCATTGTGGGTGGGGGATGGGAAGGATGCCAAATTCTTTCTTTTTATAAATCGGAAGCCTTTCCAGGTACCATACGCTTCGAAACAGTGCATCCTCAAATAATTATTCCTATGTTTTTATTGGGGGACAGATACAGACCCTGGTTGCAAGTTGGATATTATTTTGCCACTTCCTTAAAACATTGTAGAATTTATAGTTTGGGATAGAAGGTCCGCAGCCTTCAAAGAACAGAACCAAATATATTTCAGAAGTTTGCGATATGCTTGGAAGCTGATCAAAGGATGTTATGGATTTGCCAGGTTCCACTTAACTGGGAGTGATATCCATTTTGCTTATTGGGACTTACTTCTAAGTGGCTGACCATAGAGTAATGTAACTTTCACCCTTAGTTATGGGCAATGGAGTCCTTAGCTCAGCCTTTCTCAACCTGTGGGTCCCCAGACGTTGTTGAACTACAACTCCCATCACCCCTAGCTAGCAAGGCCAGAGCTCGGGAATGATGGGAGTTGTAGTCCAACGACATCTGGGGACCCACAGGTTGAGACCGCCATGGAAACAGACCACCAGAAGGCCTTAAAGACTTCTTGAGCCATTTCCCTGCATCTCCCTTCTGGCAGTGAAATTCGCTGACAGCCACAGCAGTGAGGGGGATGTCTTAAGGATGTGGTGGGTTTATGCTTGGCAACCAAAGAAGAAATCTTCAGTCTGCACTGCCTTTGCCTTAGCAGAGTATAGATTGCTAGGATCAAGGTTGCATATATCATTATAAAAAAAATCTCTTTGAGAGAACCACTGTCTCCTCACTCTCAATACACAAGGTGAGCCACATCTGGGAGACTAACTCATGAAAGTTATTAACAGCTAACTGATATAATAATAATAATAATAATAATAATAATAATAATAATTTATTTATACCCCAACTTCTTGGTTCAGAAAACTGGGCTCAGGGCAGCTAACAACAAATTTAAAACACTTAATTGATACAACAACAAAAACAGCATAAAATACAGTATAAAACGTGAATAACAATAAATTCAGAATTCAAAAATCAATTTAGGGGGAAATCCATCCAACAAACATTAGATGATCACCAGGGCTAGCTGGCTAAATTAGTCCTATTTGGGCCAGTGAGGAGACCAGGAGAGAATTAGCTGTGGGATCCCAGAGCGGGTAATCTTTATAAAAAGGTGAGGGGGAGAGAGGAAAAGGAAGGGGAATAAAAGATCAGGCTAAGTTCAGATTGAAAGCCATGCGGAATAGCTCTGCCTTACAGGCCCTGTGGAAGGAAGCTAAATCCTGCAGGGCCCTGGTCTCCACTAGGTTAGAGCCATCACTGAGAAGGCCCTGGCCCTGGTGGAAAATAATCTGACTTCCTTAGGGCCTGGGACCTCTAAACTATGATTATTCATGGACCTTAAGGTCCTCTGCGGGACATACCAGGAGAGGCGGTCCCATAAATACGAGGGCCCTAAGCCACAAAGGGCTTTAAAGGTCAAAACCAGCACCTTAAACCTGACCCAATACTCCACCGGGAGCCAGTGCAACTGGTAAAGCACTGGGTGAATATGCTGCCATGGCAGAGACCCCGTGAGGAGCCTTGCTGCAGCATTCTGCACCCACTGGTGTTTCTGGGACAGTTTCAAGGGCTTCCTCACATAGAGCGAATTACAGTAGTTGATGTTTCTTTCCAGCAATCAAGTGGCTTATAGTTACTTACTCGGTAATCACGGTTAATGGGGGCCGAGAGAAGTTGTATGGTTTAAATACAGCAGTTTTTGGTGAGATGATCCCACAAATGAGATGGTCCCCTGCCCTGTAATAATTCACTGGCTCGTTTCGAAGCCGCATCAGATTCACAGAGCATTTCCCTGCCTGAGTCCCACAGACAGCCTCAGGCATAAGCAGCAGCAGCAGCAGCAGCAGTGATATCATCCTAGCAGTGACCATGACAGGCAGTGACTACAGTGGCACACCTGGGCTCTAGCCATGGATTCAGAGCTAAAGCTAGCAATAAAAAGCTTCCCACCTTCACAGTCCCTGCCTGCCCTGAACCTCAGACCAGGCTCTTGGTGATGCTTAATATTTTGAGAAGCATTTATGGCATCATTCTTCTTTCAAGCTTCTTGCAATATGTGGAGTCATTTTCTCCTTGATTCTGAAGTTTAGGTTACTGGTCTCAGGGGAAATCCTACAAGATTTGGTGCGAGTAGAGGAATACACCACTATGATTTTGATAATTATACAGGGGAAGAACTTTCCTGTCTGCAACCTCATGGATTCTCTGCTTGGCTCACTGGGCAGGTGCAGAGCTGGAGAGAAAACATGTTTTTGAGAAATCACCAACAAGGTTTCATGGTCGAGATGGGCCAGTGGACCTGGCAAACTTTGCAATGGGGAAACACTTTTGAAAGCTTACTTTGGCGATCAGGGGCATACTCTTAGTAACCAACTTTGGTTACTGTAATACAGATATAGGAATACAGATATAGGAAAGTACAATAACAAGTATCTCCTGGCAGAAATAGAACGATCCTTGTAAAACAACAAATATAATGTTTTTTGATATCTGACGAAAACAAAGAAAGAAATACAATAACTTGGAACTGTGTGTGGAAAAAATTGTAGAAGTAATAATACAATGAGTCTAATCAGAAGCCAAATGTGTTTGTTTTGTTTTGTTTTGTTTTTTCTTTTTTCTTTTTTGACCTCCCCTCCTTCCGCCCCCCTTCTTCTTCCTCTTCTCTTTTCTTTTTTGTGCCTCCTTTCTTGTTTTTTTCTCTTTTTGATATGTTAAGAAAGAGATAAAGAGGTAAAAGTGTAATATGAAAACTTCAGTAAGTTGAAAGTGATGATGTGTAATTTTTCTGTTACTATTTATATATTGTTAAAATTGGTTAATTGTAATGAATTGATGTAGCAACTACTGTGGTTTTTTCCCTTTGTTATTGCTGAATTCTAAATAAAGTATTATTCTTAAAAAAAAAAAATATAGGAAAGTACGCAAAGCCAACTTCATTCTTGGTTCCAGCGATGCCGACTTGAATAAAATACAGTGGTACTTCGGGTTACATACGCTTCAGGTTACAGACGCCACTAACCCAGAAATAGTACCTCGGGTTAAGAACTTTGCTTCAGGATGAGAACAGAAATTGTGTGGTGGCGGTGCAGCAGCAGCGGGAGGCCCCATTAGCTAAAGTGGTGCTTCAGGTTAAGAACAGTTTCAGGTTAAGAACAGACCTCTGGAACAAATTAAGTACTTAACCCGAGGTACCACTGTATTGGGGTGGTGGTGGTAGGTAAGCCCTGCCCTACATAATTGATCACAAGATGCAGTGCACACACACCATTTGAATGGCAACGCCTATCAATTTTGGAGGGGCAGCCTCAAATATTTCATTGGGGGCCCGAAGGGACCTCGGCCCCTAGGCGTTGACTCCTATGCCAGGTTCCCATTCATACAACAACAGGACCCAGGGGGAGGAATTGCTCTACTGTTTCCGTAGCTCTACGGTGCCCTGTCCCCAATTCCCTTGCAAGCAGCCACAGTTTGAAATGGAACCTGAAGTGCCGCTGCAGTTTCAGAGGTGCAAATGATGGCACTTTAATTAAGGACACTTTGCAGGGAAAGGAGCGGGGGCGACTTTCCTTCTTCTGCCCTTCAGTGCTCCAACTGCTAAATTAAATGGAAATGAGTCCTTAGCTAAATGGGGTGGTGGGGGTGGAATCTAATGCTTGGAGGGGACAGAAAGTCCAAAAGGTGGGGAGGTTTGCTTGTGAGCTATGCGAGAGCCACAGGGGTTTGTGGCAGGGAGTGATACATAGAATCTAGTTGCAAACTCCCCCCTCAACCGCTTCGTGATTTCCATTTATGTACTAAGCTTGGATCCTAGAACAATAGGCAGGTAGGATTCTAGAATGCAACAACTGATTGGCCTGCAGAAGACCAATCAGGCTCCAGGAGGGAAGCAGAATCAGCCAATCAGATGGGACTCATTGTGTAAATAATGTATGTAAATGTATGTAAAGGCCTGAGGTTTGGGGGAATTCAATCACTGTTTTACAAGCTGCAATTGGTAAAGGTAAAGGTAAAGGGACCCCTGACTGTTAGGTCCAGTCGTGGCTGAGTCTGGGGTTGCGGCGTTCATCTCGCTTTATTGGCCGAGGGAGCCGGTGTACAGCTTCCTGATCATGTGGCCAGCATGACTAAGCAGCTTCAGGCAAACCAGAGCAGCACACAGAAACGGCGTGTGTGCTAAAGGAAGAGGTGGATTTGCCCTGCCAGACCTTAAACTTTATTATGAATCAGCTGCTTTTTGCTGGCTGCGAGAGTGGCTGCTTCTTGAAAATGCTGAAGTGTTAGAAAAAAAACCCCAAGATGGTTGTCACCAATGGAAGCGAAGGCACAGAAAAAACTCAATATGGAGGCCATGTGGCCGAAATATTAGGAAACTCTGGAACAAGATGGAGAGAGAATAAAATTGCAGAGCTTTGAAAAATTGAAAAACAGACTTCCGGGTTAGCGCCTCCGGCAATGGCGGATTTCCTCTGATCGGGAGGAATCCGCTTCGTGGAAATCAGGGTCTGGACCGCCACGGCGAGGCGGAGACCCATTAAAAACCACAGGCAGGAGAAGCCTGTGCACGTGGGATTCGGCTGACACCTTTTGCGCCTCCCCTACTCATGGGGAAACCCGGTTTTGGGGATCCGGAGCGACGTGGGGTGAGCGGCGCGGTGCTTCGAATCGACTGCTTTTTTCACGAAGTGAAGCCGCATTGCTGTTGCCGGAGAGCGCTGACTTTTTCCTGTGGACAATTGGACTTTAAACAACTACCCATGAGTAGAACGGAAAATTGGATTACTAAACATCTTTAATTTGGCACCGAAGCGGGAAGGTTCCAAACAGGAAGTCTGCCTTCCGCTTTTGTAAATAGATTGAAGCAAAGACATTGCAAGCTAAAGTCTGGAAAGTCTTTTGTAAAGGATTAAATCTCCATCGGCTAAAATTACTAAACCCCCCTTGGAAGCAGGAGAAGAGGGGGAAAGTTTAGATTGTTTAAGCCTGCAGGAGAGAGAGTGAAGAAAGATAAATTACCACCGTTTTGAACCTGGGAACGGGCTGCCAGGGAGCGACGTATAGGGAAAGTTCATTGACTGTGAATAAAACGTATGTTGACAGATAGTTAAACAAGAGAAACATATTGATTCCAATGTTTCCTTTTGCACTTGAAAGGAGCAAAACATCTGAAAATCGAAATTAATTTTGTTAACTTTGTTGCTGGACCTGCTTTTAAAAGGACGGATACAAATAGAAATTGTTTCCCCTAGAGGGAGCTTTTGAAACTGTTGCAGGAGTGGAGCTGGGGAATTCTCCAGCTGCAGAGATTAAAGACCGTGAGAATTAGACATTGACCTTGGACAAGAATGTGGACAGAAGAAGCCTTAGTGATTGCTTTTTGCAAAACAAGTGCCTTATTGGAGCAGCTTCATGAGAAGATGGATGCGATGACTATTAGCATTGACAATTTTGGACAAAAAAGGATTGATTTGGGACAAAAAGTGAATACTTATGAAGAAACTACTCAGGAACCGACCCAGGAATCTGCTTTGACATGGCAAGCTGTGGAGAAGACAAAGGAGGAGGTTGTTGTTGAACCTCAAGTAATACAAGTGGAGAGAGCCCCGGCCTTACAGAGGCAATTTGATGAACATAAGCTGTTGCCTTTTACGATTGAATCTAGAGAAAGCCAGATCTGGAGGAATGGAGTCTCGCTTGGATTGGAGAAGGAAAGTTGGATAGACCCCCTTATGCAGGGATGTTCTGGCTTTTGGGATCTGGATTTGGGCCAGGGGGAGATTGGAGTGGCGGGGGCCTTTAACTTTGGAGGGACTTTGAAACATGTTTTGAAATATTTTTTGGATTTTGGCTCTGTCTATGGAGAATGGGCTGACCTGTTGAGAAGGGATAAAGACATTGTTAGGTTGGAGTCTCCCCAAGATCTACTCCTCAGTGACAAAGGAAGGAAATTAAGAACAAGATCAGCAGAAGACAAAGTAAAGTGTAGGTATAAATATGAAGAAGATCTGCAGAAGGGACATGGAAAAGAGTTAAGAGCCTTGGACAGGAGATCACCAGGTTGATGGACTAGATGGAATGGATAGAAAAGACTGACAGAACCCGAGACCAGGGAGAAGAGACTGTGGATGAAGATTGGAAGAAAGTTTAAAAATTTATTTAGAGAAATATTGTAAAATCTATGAGTGTTAGAAAAATGTTGGAATGAAACTATATGGCTTTAGTAGAAATGTTATAAGGAGTTATGTACAAATATGTTTTTAAGTTTTAAGGTTTTTTATGGTAAGATAAGGTTAAAATAAATTAAGACAATTAAATGACAGAAAATAGTGAAAGATGGAAAGGATTTGCTGAAATAATTAATAACTAGAATACAAAAAAGTGAGGTGTGAGGAGGTCGATGAAACAAGTTAATGAAAGACAAAGATATGGAAATATTGGATCTGTTTTTAATTTTTCGCCTTTGTGTTTGGTCTTGATGTATTGTGTGTTTTGTTCTTTTTTTTCTTTTTTATATGTATTGACTTGTATTGTTTGATCTTTTTTTCTCTTTTTTTTTTACTTTTTTCTGTAATTTTAAACTTTCAATAAATATCATTTATAAAAAAAATTGAAAAACAAAGTGTGAGATTGGCTCCATTATTATCAAATAATGGAGGCATACAAATTGGACAAAAAAGTTGGTTTCCAGGTGGAAAAATCAAATTTGGAAACAGAATTGTTAGATCCAAAAACTAAGAATTTGTCAAGAATGTATAACTTGCTGTTGAAATGGAACACTCAGGATGAAACGGTGAAATCAGCTATGATTAAATGGGCACAAGATGTTGGACATAAAATAATGATGGCTGACTGGGAACGGTTATGGACCACA